GTGCATCATTATTCTCACTTGACAGATGAGGTCACACGACTGGTAAATGGCAATGCTGGGAACCCACTAGGGGGATCTGACGTTCAAACCATGTCCCCATCGCCCAGAATGTACAAGCTGATACAACTGGACAGAAGAGGTAAGGCATAAACCGTGCAGAAACAAACCCACATCTGCTCTGAATGCTTTCAAAACACCACATGCGAATTAGGGGCTTCAATTGTTTCCTGAGCCCCCACTGAGGACTCAGTTGTCTAAAAAGAAAAACAAACCTAAAGGTGCAAGGAGAGAACAGGCAGGAGGCTGTAGCTTTCTCTTGGAAGAGCATCCGGAGAGGCCCACTCACTTTCTATGTCTGGGCTCTGAGAAAATAAAGGTGGCTCTAGGAAAATCTGAAAAGTATGAGAGGGGAAAAAAAATCCCTTCTGCGGTTTTTACTTTCACCAAGCCTCATTCTGCTATTCGTGTCTTATTTTAAAACTAATGTGGCTCTCTCCACCCTTTAAATTGGCACGTAAATAGTAAAAACAGAAGGAAGGCCAGCTACAAACTTCAAATGCGGTGGGTTTCTCAGGAAGGAGGTACATGACTTGAAGTGGAAATGCGGATCAAATGAGGTGCCTTAAACATTTCAAAGACAGACTTTCCACCAGGAATTTAGATCATAAGCTCTTAGAACAGGAGCTTTGTCTGGGTTTGGGCTCAGTATAGTGTCTAGAATCTTTGAGTGCCCAATAAATGTGGAAAACAAATCACACTTTTCATCTATGTCTGCATCATCTAACCATCTGGGCCACCACTTTGCTTATGGTTTTAAAGTGAGGCTTCTGGGGGATTTTCCTGTCCTCTGGATCTCAGATACACACCCTCCCCCCAGACCCCTCACTTCTCCAGAAGTTTGCTCTGGGAATCCAGTCAAGGTGAGGCAATTGTTGATGATGTCATCAGGCTTGGTTACACAGAGTGACTGCACACTCTGGAATCACCAACTGGAGGCCTTTCCAAACAAGGAAACCAAGCAGAAGGGGCCTCAGGCGACTTATCCCTTAACAGTTCTCAATCTCTTGCCCAATGTCTTTGAACTAGAAGGATTCTTCTCTTATCCCTACAAGAGAGCTCTGGACATCCCAGGCTGCCTCTTATAAAAATCCTTGGACTTCTTTGATCTTTTCTCTCTCTGCTCCTTCCCTCATTTTTTCAATGCATTTATTCTACAAACATGCATCAAGAGCCCACAATCTGTAGGTGCTGAGGGTACAGCAGAGAATCTAACATGGGCTTTGAGCTCACGTTTTCCCATTTCTACCTGGCTCCTGACCCCATAGCTCCAACTTTCTTGCCTGCAGAGGCCACACAATATTAAAAGACTTGCTTCACCAGGTGAGAAGTATTTCACATACATATCTGACATTTTATCAGCCCCTGGCAGCCCCCTGATCCTATAGAGCACCTTGCTGACACCCATTTGGCACAAGTTCTCTGGGCTCTGATATACCCTTAGAAGCAGGACCTGGAGATACTACAGCACTTGTCCACAATCCTTTTCATCCTTCCTAGTAACTCCTTCAGTTCACAAGATCACTGTTGATGACAGAAACAGTTTGGGCCATATTTATGAAACATCTATTACAATAAAAAAAATCTCATAGTGCCATAATACCCCACTGGTCAAAGGAAATTGTTGGCTTAAACAAACAGTGACTACCTGACAAAGGGACGTGTCAGATAATGCTTATGAATTTTTCAGGTCATTTTTTTTAATGGAATCTTGGGAATGAGTGATTCATAATAATGAGGGGAAGGAAAAACAGTAGGCCTGTTTTAGCTCTCAAGATTCTTCAACTGGAATAGATTTTTACCATCAACACCCTAGAAAAGACAGAAGGCTTAAGGTAAATTGCCAGTGTTTGTCTTTTGGGAAACTATTAATACTAAAGAACCTTGGTCTTGACCCATTCCAAATAAATAAATAAATAAATAAATAAAAGAATTGGACCATAGAATTCAGACTATGTCCCTGGAAATCCCTTTAGAAAGTAGATTCCAAATCAGTACTCTTATTCTTCTTGAATATCCCACCCCCTAAGACTGCCCCATCCTTCCAGATCCAGCATTATTTTCTCTCCTCTTCAGGAAGGCAGTGGCTCCGAGACCAGAAGGATGGAGAGTGAGGAGGACTTTCCCTTACCTGGGTTGCAGAACCATTTGAATCTAGAGAACTCATTGTATGTGTGGTGTCTGCATAGGTTTCTGGTAGTGCATTCTCTGGCTGATGTCCAAAGTCTTCAAAGCAGGGGGGCCTGAGATATGCCAAAAGGAACGCCTATCTGTGGAAGAAGCCGGTCCACCCACCAAGAAGTTCTTGGTGGTCAGTGTCTGCGTGTCCCACTGCTGGGGTGAAGAGAATTGGAAACCACTGAACATTCCTGCTGGGATCTTTCCAAGCCCTTTTGGGAACCGGCAACAGCTCTTGTCTGGGGAAATTAGTTTTGCACTTTCACGGAGTGAGAAATTCCTCAGGGGCATTCTTGTACTTGGGAAGAGAAATCAAACCCAGCTCATTCCTTCAGGGCCCATGCTATTAATAAAGCCGACCGAGTTCAGTTCAGTGGGTCCAGCCTGGGGCCATGGGTGGGGCTGGAGCAAAGGAGTTCAGCGAATTTCACCTGTGGCTCGGGCCCTCGCCTGACTGGCGACTGGCGCAAGCTGGAGATTTCAGGGGATTGTGTTACCAGCGTGTAAACGCCGTGGGTGACAGCCAACGTCCCCCAGAGACCACAGAGGATCTCAAACCCTTCCTATCTTCCTAGAAACCCTGGCGGCCCGGCTGGCTGCTGGCTGTCTGATGCAACAGTTTGCAACGCCGTTCTGGGAGCCCAGCCTGCTGCGGGGAGCTGGGCGTCCGGCCGACGCGCATGCGCGGGCTGCGGGCCTGCGGGGCGGGCGGGGCGGGGCGGGGGAGAGGCTTTGCCGGAGTGTGCCGGGGCCGGGGCGGGCACCGAGACCTTTGGCAGCCCGCGCCCGCGATCTGAGCTTAATTAAACTTCTCCCGAGGCATTGGCTGACTGATTGACCCAGTGATCCAAAGAAAATCACAGAGGCCCGAATCGCCCTGTGAACGCCACGGGAGAGGGAAGTTGGGGAGTTGGCTTTCGATTTCCAGAGCTGGGCCTTTCAATTCAGCCTCCCTCCCCTGAGCTCTCCCCAATCCACGATGCCATCGGGGCTCAACAATTCATCAGGGCCTTCGCCATCGCTTTCCTGAGCTCTCCTTTCACTTCACAAGAAAGGGAAGAGCAGTGGTTACAGGGGGGAAAGAGGCAACGTTTTTTTTGTTTTGTTGTTGTTGTTTTTGTTAATCCTCGCCCGAGGATATTTTTCCATTGATCTTTTAGAGAGAGTGGAAGAGAAGGGGAAAGACAGAGAGAAACATCGCTGTGAGAGAAACACATGGATTGGTTGCCTCCTGCATGAGCCCTGACCAGGGCCCTGGCCAGGGAGGAGCCTGCAACCAAGGTTGCGCCCTTGACCTGAATCGAACCAAGGACCCTTCGGTCCGCAGGCCAAGGAAGAGGCAAAGTTTTGATAGGATCTTGATCTGTCATTTTCCCAGCCTGCGTTCTCCACCCGTATGCCTTAGGGTTTTTTGTTGTTGTTGTTTTTGCAGAAGGGAACATGGCATTATAGATGATTTCCCCAAAATTTCCGCCTTTCAAGTATTGCCTGCATGATTTTCTTCCACAGTCCACCTATATTATATTTTTAATTGACTTCTATTTTGCTTTACTAACTTTCCTTATTCTTTAAATTAACTTTAAATTGATTCCCTTTTTCTACCTAGCCTTGCCCTAAGCAATAACATTAGCGAAACCACAGCTTTGGTGTGCTAGTCACATATTTTAATACACTTGAAAATAAATTTATAACTATCCAAATAAAAAATGTACATGTTAGCTAAAAGTTTCTTGCTGCTACATTTGGAGAAAAACTCCAGAGGTAATAACAATAATGGCTAACATGTGTTGAGTGATGGCCAATGTCCCAGGCACTGTTTTAAGCACGTTAACTATTCCACGTCCTTATGACACCTCAGAAGGTGGGTGTTCTTTACATTTTACAGAGGAGAAAAGTGGGGCACAGAGAGGTTAAGTTACTTGCCTAAGATCACCAAGGCAGGATGAAAACTCTACTGAGACTAGAGCAGTGGTTCTCAACCTTCTGGCCCTTTAAATACAGTTCCTCATGTTGTGACCCAACCATAAGATTATTTTCGTTGCTACTGCATAACTGTAATGTTGCTACTGTTATGAATCGTAATGTAAATATCTGATATGCAGGATGGTCTTAGGCGACCCCCGTGAAAGGGTCGTTCGACCGCCAAAGGGGTCTCGACCCACAGGTTGAGAACCGCTGGACTCGAGCCTATACTGATGGCCTATCAAAGAGGCTAAGTTACTGGGGAAGATCACCCAGATGGTTAGTCAGTCTGCGTTTGAACCCAAGTCTGGCTGACTCCAGACCTGAGCTCTAACTCCTTCCTGCCTATTTTCCCAAATCTCGCCTCATACAGCCTTTTTATCTGTCTGCCTCCTTGGAATCCAAAAGATGCTTCCAAGTATTTCTCTCCTCACCCCCTACATCTCCCCTTCTCTCTCCCTCTGGGTGGAACAAAGGTTCTCATTTCTAGTGTTTTATTCTCTTCTCCAAACTAAGTACCCCATAAATCTCCCATGCCTACTTTGAAGGTCCTATCTACTTCCCCCCATTGGCCAGAGAACTGCTTAGAAATTCCAACTATTAGCATTGCCAAACTACATTTCCCAGACTGCTATTCTCACCTGGAAAGAGAACAAAAATCCTATGTCAAACCATGTGGCTCCTATTTTGGGGTTGGAAAATCTGGTCACTAGCTTGGATAAAGATTGGTATGCCCATAGACTAATTCTTCTGGCCCAAGACAGACATGTATTTCCCAGGCCTCAATGATTGGAGGACAGTGGGGAGGAGAGGGGGTAAATGGGGCGGGGGGCCGTGTGGTGTGTGTGTGTGTGTGTGTGTGTGTGTGTGTGTGTGTGTGTTGGGGATTATTTCAGCAAACAAAACCTTCAATTAGAGGCATAAATGAAGACTTGGCCTAAGACTTCTAAAAGATGGCTGACCCATGCCCAGTAGATATATTTTCTGTCTTCAACAACCCCTACCACCACCACCCCTTCCCTCTCTTCACTTCCTTTTCCTTCCCCTTCTTCCAGATTCTTCTCTTAATTGTACCATTGTGCCACTCCTTTGCTCCCCAACCCCCATGCCCACACCCACTCTTTAACTGTTTAGTATAAAATCCAGCCCACCAGACTGAGGTTTTCTTCCATCCAAATGTTATTTTCAGAAGGAGCCATTGAGGTTGGGGTGTAATTGCAGCGTTGAGCCTCTGCAAGCCAAGCTGAAAATAATCAGCGAGGCAGATGGGGTGGGAAGAGTGTGGTGGCCACTGCCCAAAGAGCGAGAGAAACCCAATGGAGTGAGTCAGAGAGAGGCAAGGGCCAGGCTGGGCCTGCTGGGCTTATGGCTGGGAGTTCAGTTAAGGGGAAACTGCCCAAGCTGTTGGGACCTTTGACTGAGGTCCTATCCAAGGTGGTTCCTGCCTGCACATCACAAGTCCATCTTTCCTGTGACAGCCACTAAGCTTCTCTTGCTCTTACTCAATTGGGCCATAGCGGCCAGTAGGCCATACGCAAACTTAGCCATCCAGACGGCTCACCCATCTCTAGAGCAGGGTTGGCTCTATTGGCATGTTGGGCTGGATAATTCTTTGTTGTAGGGGGCTGTCTTGTGCATTGTATGGTGTTTAGGAATATCCTTGGCCTCTACCTTCTAGATGCCAGTAGCTTGCACACGCTCGCGCGCGCGCGCGCGCACACACACACACACACACACACACACACACACAGGCCTGACTATCAAAAATGTCAGGCATGCCACATGTTCTTGGGAGGCAAAATCACCCCTGGTTGAGAACCACTCGTCTAGAGTGATCCAGGCTTCTAGAAGGGTCACATCACCTGTCCCCGTGGTGGCCTCACTGCCTCGCATAATATCTGAATGTGTCCTGATAAAAACTATTGGCTAACTACCATTTCCAATGACAACCGTTGAGTACTCCGGACCCAGCATGAGTGCCAACTGTGCCAGGCACTAGACAAGGTCCTAAGAATAAAGCAGCAAACAGGACGGACATGCCCTGTCCTCACGGAAATGGCAGGTGGAGTGGGGGCAAGACGGGCATTGAACAACCCTGAGTGAGAGGTGTGTAAAGAAGAGAAGTGGGGTACTGAAAGAAAGTCAAAGAAGGTTTCTCACCTAGGTTATGGGGTCAAGAAGGGTGCTTGGGGGAAATGAGAAATTAACCAGTGGGAGATTTGAGGGTGAGGCAGTGTTCCTGAATAGGGACAGAGTGCTCAGAAGCCCTGAGTTAAGAGAGAATGTCAGACATTCAAGGAACCCAAAGAAGTCTGTCATGGACCAGGCTTAGGACGCTGGGAAGTCCTTTTCTCCTCTCTCCCCACAGCTTGCTTTCCCTCTACTCCTTCTCCGGGTTTCTAGCACAAGCATATAAACTTAGAATCATATTTAACCATATTTAAAACCCCACTTGTCCTTGCTCAAACCCCCACCCCTTAGTCACCCAGTTACCAAGTTTTGTCATTTTACCACCAAAATCTCCTTGTCTCCATTCCCACCACCACAGCCCTAATGCAGGCTCTCTTCATTACTCAGCCGAATTTGTGAAATAGCTTCCTAACGAGTCATCTTCCAGGCTCTTCCTCAAAGGAAGACAGAGATCGGACCATGTCTCCGCTGGCTTGCAAACCCTGCAGGCTTCAGAGGTCTGTTGGAGAGGCTGCTGCCTCCGTGGCTTTTATTCAGTAACAGCTCCCAGCTACCTCCCACCCTCCCACTCTCTAGCCACACGGGACCACTAGCCACACCTGGTGGGCCTTCGCACCTCTGGGATTTTGCTGTTCTCTTTGTCTGGACTGCCCTTCCCCCACCAAAATCATTTGGGGAATTCCCACATATCCTTTAAGACCTAGGCAAAATGAGCTCATGATTCTCTCCTATCTCTTCTTAGAAGGCTTCTCGTAATTCTTCCCTCTGTTTTTATTGGGATTTATATGTCGCTGCTGGTTTTCCATTTGTCTTGTTCACCCTTGGTTATCTGTTTAAACCCATCCCTCCCCCACAGAGTGGGAGGGTCTCAGAGGCAGATAATGTAGTAGGCACTGCTGGCTGATAACCCAACACCCATTGCCCCCTCCCCGTTTCCAGAGAGCAGCCAAAGAAATGCAAGGCGCCGTGTACTATTTAGTGTAGAAGCTAAACTGTTAATACAAACACACCCAGAGTACAGAGTCTTAAGCAAGCACGTGTGCCCCAGTGAAAGCTGAGCCCTTGCTCAGCTTCTGGGTTGGGCCTCCACCTACCTTCTCAAGAACTGGTTCAGGAACCTGGGCCTAAATTAATCAGTGTGCAGTCGAGACTTCCTGGTTCCTACTCTCCCCTTCTTTAATAACAGAACTCCTGATTTTTCTAGCAGATGGCTATC